CAGCTTTGCGTTTCTTTGGAATTCTCCAACGTGGTTTCTTATCAGGAGTTTCCCTAATATCAGCATTGCTCGGCGCTAGATTTCCGTCCGGTTGAATTTGCTGCTCTTCAATCAATTTTGTTTTATTCGCGATCTTCTTCGCGTTTACCTTTTCAGGCTGATAGAAAGCATGGTTTAAGTTAAGATAAATAACTAAATGCATTCGTTATCTGATTTACCTTTACAGTAGTTGAAATATATCTATGTTCTGAAATATTCTTAATTTCATACTGTTTAATCTGAAACTCGGACTTCGAGGAATTTTCACCCTTGATTGGATATTGTTCCATATTTTCAGTAACCGACTGGCGATTTAATTGCCTATCCTGGAAATATATATTATTTCAATCTTTACTAAGTTTCGCCAAGTATTAAGCTTTCATTTATCCCCAACAAGTATATACCATGTTGTCCATTGGAATTCTGCATCCTGAAGATGTCTCCAGTTTTACCACATCTCCTTCCTGAGTTTGACTTCTCTTAGCCATAGGTGGGTTGTCTTCTATTGGCTCATTAGCTGCTGAGGCGAACCCCTCGTTGCTCAAAGATTGAACGTGGCTCTGAATGGTATTATTGAATTCACTTATATAGGTAGATGTAGGAATATTTAGTTCAAGTTACCAATGTTTGCATATCTGGTTTTATATCGACATCGTCATCATCATCGGCAACGTCGGCATCATCATCATCAGAATGCTAGAATATAATATGTTTATATAATTAAATGTTCTGTTTCATGCATTATTAAAAAATCATCAACTAGAAAATATTTTTTTTTGATTACTATAGAATTTTTGCGTTTCTTTTTATGCACCTCTTCGATTGTAATGCCATCGGAGAAACGTACCTTTTCAGTTAGAAATGCATATACTCTATATCTAATTATATTTAAATATGCTCCAATTTTATTCTTATTACGCTCAGTTTTGGGTTTGGTTTTAAGATTTTTATTCTTACTTTCTATATTTTGTTCTATCTTTTCAGTTATTTCTTTGGTAGGTTGTAATATCTTTGTATCCTCTACAGTCTGATTATAATCTAATCCTAATCCGATATAATTATACTCTGTTATTGGTTCTATTATCGACAACAAGCAAAACTAATAAAATTAAAAATTAATACTAAAATTTATTTACCTTTAATTCATGTATCCTTAATTTATCGCGTTTCAAGGCAATATCTGTTTTCTGATGCTCTTTCTCGGTCTTCACTTCTTTGGTATCATCGTATGTCCATTTGTATTCGATCCTCTTTACTTTTTGTTTATCACGGGATTCTTGTTGGCTAAAAGTCATTTCAACTTGATCACTTTCTAGTTCTTCCCCAGGACTTTGCTATTTTTGAAAAGACATAAAAACATATTTTATTTGAGAAAATGCAAGAATCACGTGAGATAAACTTGCTTACATTTTCTTTTTTTATATATTGTTGAGATGATAAAGCTCTCATACTTGAAAATCTGTACTTCTCAAAAAATGAGATTCTATTTTCATTTGTCTGTTCTTCATACGGAAAATCTTGATGAATAATGTCCTACAATGAGTAATAAGCATAAGTAATAAGCATACATACATATGTATTCATTCGCTTTTGACATTTTATATCGTACCGTCATATAATAATTTTGTATGCCTTCATTTTCAGATTGTCCAACAAACATTTTGAGGCTCTTCAATTTCTGAATATTCCTAAGACGGGTTTGCTGATGGATACCATTGAAAAAACAAGGATGTACACATTAAGGTTAGCTACTAAAGGAATTGAGTTGTATGCAGGCGTTACCTTAGCAATCTCAAATTGACTTAATTGGGTTTCTTTGCTATTTTCTCCTTGTTTGTGTCCGGCTTCAAAGCTGTTACTATTCTGAGGTCCGGTCAAGTTCGATTCGATTGAAGTTAGATTGAAGTCAGATGTATCAAGTGATGCATTTAAACATGCTTGACGAGTTTCTCTTATTTGAGATGTGCTTCCGGGATGGGCTGCTTCAGTTTCGCATGGTTTTACATCTTGGACTATTTGCTGCACAGTAGAATAATAACGAATAATCTAATTGAAATTGCTTTTGAGACTCAGTTTCTAGAAGTCTTACCCCCGATACAATATCTTCGGCACTTGTGTATGTTTCTGATGCATAGTTTCCAGCAGTTAAAGAAGGCTTTTCTTCACACAAAATCTCATAGCCTTGTGAGTTCGATCCTCGCATATAATCAGGGTATTCTCTGACATTTTCATCATCATCGTTTGTTAACGGCTTTGATCTGAGAACAACTTTCTGTTAAAGAGCATAATAGTTCGTGACTTGAATATGTATTATGTATTATTATGACGAAAAGTATCCTTACCACCGGCGTGTTGTTATGCGTAGATTGTGGTGAGCCCATGTCAGAACTGCTCTGATCAATGATCTCAAGTTGTTTTTCTAAATTCGCCTTAAACGCTTGCAAAGTATCGATGTCGATTGAAGCTATATTGTGTTCATCTATTGGAATAAACGGAGTAGGTATATTCAATTCGCCGCTTTCTATCTTTAATTGATTTCCCAGCAAGTTTTGAGATTTACTTTGAATTTGCTGTGATACGAAAAATTGATTTAATTTTTTCATCATTGTGTGTCACCGCGTGAAATAAAATTATAAATATGTTCGACTCGCTACCCTAGCTAAGCCTATATATGCTTATATGCTTACCTGCAGCAGCTTCTTAGTCTTCCTCTCTTGTTTTTCCATACACCTTCTTTTATTCTTCTCTTTATATTTCATGGCTGCAAGTTGATCCAATTTATCCTGATTTCTCAATTCTTCCTTGGACTGCTGTATCATCATTAACTGTTGTTTCATCATTAAACCGTCTTCCCGTCCGGCTGCCTCATTTTCATGTCTATCCTTTGTAACATTTATGCGGGCTGTATTTCCAATTTCTTGATTTTCCATGAATTGTTCAGCCATTTCTGTTTTTTCTGACTTACTTGATTGTATCTGTCGAAAAATTATGATGATTACATAAATTTGTGCTTTTCTGACATACTTGGATTTATCTGTCAAAAGTTCCAAATGATTAAATTAATTTGTGCCTGTGTTTTTTTTTTTTTTTTTTTTTTTTTTTTTTTTTTTTTTTTTTTTTGACTTACTTGGACTTATCTGTCAAAAATTCGAAAAAGAAAAAAAATTGATAGGCTATAAAAACCCTTACCTCTTGAGAAGCTTGAAGAACTGGCCTATACGCGCCTGTATAGGAAACTTCTGGCCTATTTGAGTCAATAGCTCCAGCTTCCGGCTTAATGCCTTGCATTTGCTTCATCTTTATGTTATTATCAGATAAATTTAGCTGCTGGGCTGCTTCCTTCTTTCCAAATGCGAGTGAATTACGATTTATTGCTTTCTGCAAATTTTCTGCAGTTGGTTCACACGGTTTCTTCTGAAAGAAATTTTTAGGCAAATCGGCCTGACGCGACTTATTTTCAAGTTGGACAATTTGGACAAGGTGCAACAATAATTGACTGGG